CGACCTGGCCAAGAAGCGCAGCGGCAGCCACGACGACCTGCTCGACGAGACCGAGCCGCGCCGCAACCGGTTCCTGCTGTGCCCCTTCGCCTCGACCGACGACCTGCACCACTACGACACGGTCTTCGATCTGCCCGGCGCGCCCGACAAGGCCAAGCGGAAGGGCAGCCACGAGCTCAAGCGGAACTTCCTCAAGACGCTGCGCTCCAACAGCTTCGGCCTCCTGGCCGTCGCCGGCCATTTCAGCTCGGAGACCACGGAGTTGCTCGGCGACGACTAGCGATTCGACCGGCCTTCCGTCGGCCGTTTAGTTAAGTTAGTCGTGTTAGTGATGATTAGTTCTTTACGTTTTTATTCCGACTTGTACTTTTAAACGTATCACTTTGAGAAACAAAACGGCGGTTCCGATATTATACTGTCAATTATATTATATAGTACGTGGCAAATGTACAGTTTTCATTTATGACAGCTACGGATAGACCGACTTACGTTATTCAAAAGAATAATGCATAAATGTCGATCTCTATATAAACCGACTTGACTGCTACGACAAATTGTCAACCAGCAAATACCATGTTTATTTGCACTCGATAAACAAAATGACGTATTGCATTTACCGCTGATGTTGCCAAAATCGGACCGCAAAAAAGAACCCTGTGAAAACTATCAAGAAAAACAAATTGTACAAAGACGTTGCCATATTGAGACATATCATTTTAAATTACTAACACATTCCTAATTGCGCATTTCGATTGCAATTTACCCTAAACGTTTAAACAACTCCGTGGCCACCGAAATGCTCCAGGTTTTAATAAGCACCGCTGTTAAATTAGACATTTCTTATGCTTACAAAAGTCTGTGGACGCGTTTTGTACGATAAACCCAAAGTGCCCTGCTTGATTATGTCGCGGCTTACAGTCGGACGTGTCCTATGACACATCCGGACGCCTCGGTTGGATCCATGATATAGCTAATTTCGATGTAGAATGTGTAACAACGAAACGTTACTAGGCAGCCAACGACAAACATAGAAAATAGTACATTATTGCAGAGTGTGATTGCTGGATCAATATGAGTTGCAAGGACGAGCGCTAACGAGGCGTTGTATTAATACGAGTCAAGCAATCCCCGTTCCCGCCGAGGCATGTACAGTGCTTTTCTCAAGCAATGTGAGAAAATAATAAAAGACTAAAGAAAAGAAGATATATCTCTAATAGAAGAAGTGAAAAAATATTAAATAGTAGTCTGCTGAACTTCTGATAATGTGGTTGTATGTGTATCTATTATTGTATTTTCGTTATTCCTCGCTACGATTAGAACTCATTTTCGCGACAAAAGCATAAAAAAGAAAAAATGAAAAGAATACCAAATCACTTTAGTTATTTTACCGCTTTTTTATTTTTTTTAATAAAGAAAGCGGTGCAGGTAGGCATTTTCAATTCTCGCAATTACGAATACTGAGCAGTTGTCTGTATGAGTTTTTCTTTTGCGTATTTGCAGGCCTTGGCCGGAAAGAAGTCGCACGGTCCTTATAAGACAAACTTTCCGTGTTCGTTTTTTGAAAGTAATGCAAACATTTGAGATAAGATTTTTTTCTCAATGCTCATTATTTAAGACTTACTGCCCACTGTCTGCTCGCCTAATTGGAATTTAAATAGATAAGTAGGGCATTATGTAGAAGTAATACTTACCTAGCCAATTATTATAAAGAATGCAAAGTACCTATTGGTACGTATGAGCTATGAACAACGTAATTAAATTTTTGTATCTATCAATATGTACTGCTAGATAGTAGGTAATGATAGATGAAAAATATATTAATTTACCACATATTGCACCAGCTTCTGTTTCCGATTCTGCATTTGAATTACTTCTCGAACTCAAATGTTTGCAATCTCTCCCTTCAATTAAAAAAAACATTAGGGATGACACAATTTATAAAATTAATTACTGGTGATTTTTGTTATTTTTAGGTGATTTGAAAATGTTACTAAAATGACTTTTTTATAAAAAAAACCGACCTCAAAAGTTCGTGGAATTACATCTATTTGCCAAGTTTTATTCAAATCTGTTTCCGAAAAGTGTACGAAACCGGATTCATACCATAGTTTGCGACCCTTAGAAGTGGAATATTCTATTCAAACTTAACTGGGACCAATACTGAAGTACCCTCTTTCCAACAAAGAAAGAATCGTCAAAATCTATTCACAAATGCGTCAGTAATCGCGTAACATACACAAAAAAATACAGTCGAATAGAGAACCTCCTCCTATTTTGAAGTCGGTTAAAAACAATCACAAGACATGATTTCAAGATTAGTGTTATCGAATTTCGTGGAAGAACATTCAAACATGGTAACTGAAACTGTTTTGAGGTGAAAACCCTAAAAATCGTATATTTTTGTTTGTTGACATTTATTCTACATCGAATTTGGCTAGACACATCAAAGTTACACATCTCTAATTTGCTGCTCAGTCTACAAGGGCTTTAACATGATCCACTGCATGGTAAACTATGAAACTACATGCATTCTTGTAATTGGAAATGAATGAATTAATCCAAAATGCCGAGACTACGCGACTATTCTCCCAAAGATGGGCGACCAGTTTTTTGGCTCATATCTATTTTTACGTTATGCTACTATAGTTCCAAAAAATCGCTTCCATTACGTTCTGCGGCAATGTAAATTGAGCCTTAGGTGTTTGTACAGAGAAATGAATTGGCCTTTTGAAACCTGGAGCAACGTCTGACTCCTCTTCTACTCCTGTAAATATACTACTTACACGAAGTACGGAGGATTTTCTAGCTAAGCTTTAGTCAATAAGTTAAATGAAAAAAATAAAAAAGACTTATTTTTAGGTTTAGGTAGACGTACTGTTAATTCACAGTCCAGTGTTTATTACTTTTTGTTTTACAAAATGGTGCTAAATTTTTTTTTTTTTTGGAATCGTCATAATGGGAGGGAAATCGAATGAATATGAATTAAAACGAAATGTCGATTGTTATTTAATTTAAATCGAGTAACATGCGATATGCTCGATAATCGAATCGAAAACGACTGATTCTTTGTCTATATTTCTCGCGTTAAATGTTTGGCAAAGAACGGATACTTATGTAACTATAGCATATAGTAGATAGTAGATTGTCGCAGCATTATGACGATTCCAAGTCTGACGGATTGCTAAATATTTATTAATCAATTTTATTTTACATAAAGTTACATATCGGTTTTCAGTTTTTCATATAAACGACAATTTTCAACCCGAATCTCGTGGAGAAAAAACTACAATGCATCAATGCTTGATACACGGAATTATAGGGCGCTTTCAAATTAGATTCAGGCGCCACTGTGACGCTGTGAAACTGCACCAATTCTAATTTTCATACAATATTTAGTTGTAACGCTGCTGTCGTGACATGCGCACTCCCCTTTGGCAGTCGCAGTCAGATTAGTATACGTTCCGAATCCGAGACTATATAGATCTAGAAAACGCTGACCCACTGCGGATGTCGCTTGTGCACCTAGATATAAAATGATCCCTCTGACATTTCGGACCGTGAACTAATAATCTCAGTACAAAGTACTAAAAACCAACCTCAAAAGCTCGTGGAATCATCATGACATCTATTTACCAAATTTTGTTGAAATCGGTTACCAGAAAATGCACGAAACCGGATTCATCCGCTACTTTGCCACCCTTAGAGGTGAAATATTTTCTTCAAATTTGAATGGGGACCACTGTTGAGGTACCTACCCTCTTTCCGACAAAAAAAGAATTATCAAAATCGGTTCACAGATCAGCCGGAGTTATCATGTAACATACATAATAAAAAAAATACAGTCTTAATTCACTGCGGCGCTTTTACAGTCGCCTGATTTGAAGGCGCCCTTACAAAAAAATCATTGCCTCTACCATAAGACTACAGTGACAGTTATCGCTAGAGATCGCGTAAAATATTTGTACACAAAATGTTGTTTCTTCTTGTGACCGCTTGGGGCGCTACATAATTTGCCATACAAAATTGCGAAGTAATTTTCGCGGTCGTTAGCGACAACTGCCACTCGTGGTAGAGGTAGGTACTGATGACAATGGACATTTTAGAGTCTAAAATATTTCTTCATGAGATTTCGGTTCGTTAGTTATTTTTAACATGCATTTATCTCAGTAAATCAAGTCTTAGTTTAAATTAGCTTGTAATTTAATATTTTTTCTAGATGTAACTTTTAGAAAAATTGATTTTAGAGAATGACTTTTGATTCAGTTATTGACTGACATATAGGATCTTGCCAGATTTTTGTGAGATTACAATGAAGTAAATGTAAGTTTAAAAACTCGTGAATTTTAACTAAAATTGTAATCTCTACTACTAGGCCGAATGTGAAACCAAATCTACCATTCACCGTAGAATAAACTGTATAAAATAGTTAACAGAGATCGCTTTTCCTTTTTCTTTCGAATATTTATGAAAACCTAAATTCATTGTAATCTCCAAAAACGATAATTGAGTTTGAAATAAAGGAATTGATAAATATTTTTTTCATTGTTGATGCCGCTAAAGGAACCTCTCAGGACAATCTGCTTTACCCTTGTAAGTATAATTTAGTATTTATTATATTAAAGAATGATGATTTGGACATTGAAAAACCATACAAAAAACGCAAATGAAAAATTACATGTATTTTTTTAATGTTTTCATAATTTTTGACAAGTAATGCTTTTCTTAATTGGTTCCGTTCTGGATGCTCTTGAGTTAATTTCATTTTCAAGCCCGCTAACTGCTTGATAAATGTTCCTACTGTTTGTCAAAAATTTTATTCCTGTCATATACTGTAATAAATTACACAACAACACTTAATCGGAAACAATCAATGCCACCGTTAAAGCCTAATAATAATTGATTTGATTGTCAAGTACATCATTATTATTATAATGCTTGCAATTTCAATGCTTTCTTTTTTTAAATTAAAGTAATGCGTGTAATACAAACAATGCATTTCAACAATGTTCAAATCCTCGTTCCTTCATAGCTGTCAACTGATGCATTGTGAGATTTTCTTGCATGATAAATCCCACAGACTGTCAGAAATTTGAACCACTGTCAATTGGTATAACTTGAAATCCTGTTGCCTTATTTATCTATTTTGATATAATTTACATGACTAATGGAGGCTTTTAAAACAACTGTGATTACGTGATGCTACTTATTGCATATCGCGGTTTTTTTAAACAAAGTACCGACGCATTTGTAAATATTTTTACATTAAGTA